GCCCTTGTATCGCAGGCATCATGCATGACGTATACGATGTGTGCACAGAAGAGCGTGGCGCTGGATCTTACAAGCGCATGAAACAACACATGGAAGATCATGTGGAGCGGGAGCGACACAGAATGTTCCATGAAGCCATCGCCACAGTCAACAAGCACCTTGATGACATGTGTAAAGCACTACAAGAGTCAATGGAAACCAAGGTTGATGAGATTTTCGTGCAGATGGACAGGGACTATACCCGAGTGCTTGGTGGCGCGGCTGGCTATCAGCCCCTTAACCTGCAATCAAAAGAAGAGAGGGAGCTGAGGTCGGAAATCAGAGAGATCTTGGCAGGCATCGATGCGCAATTTGAGCCCATCGCTCGCGGCGACATCTTAGCAGAGAAAGATGCAGCAAACAGTACGGCCGAGGGAGAAGAGCAGATGGACGTTGACATGGAGGACGACCGCAGCATCGTTGACTCCGCACAGGACTCCGTCGAGGAGGACGTTGATGAGGCAGCTCCGATGGAGACTGAATCATCTATGTCCAAGAACGGTGGCGACCATGTCGACCGGCGTGCCCGAGTCGACGACGAGGTAGATGAGGAGATGTAGGTTTGCTCACGACACAGCATCATCTTAGCCGTCGATATCCGTATTGCTTCATCGTTCGCTGCTTTATACCCCAGGCGTTAGTTGAATCAGTTGATATGAAGGGCCTGATTAGGTTGACTCGCGAGCACATGCGAGAGGAACTGGTCATTTTCGGTGATAGTACGAGAGGAACGAGCGATCTTTCTTGCAATTTCAGTCGGTACTCCTCCGGTGTGCATGGTGTCTTTAGCCATTCAGTTATGGGCCGGGTGGAGACATGGATACTTGGTGTCAGTGCGTTACCAATGCAGTCTTCAAAACATCTCCATGAACGTGCACTCGTGAAAGTGAACACATCGGTAATGTTTCAGCCTCTCATACAAAGAAAAGCCGAACACTCTGGAGTCTACATCATGATGGGAAAACGCAAAGTAGATGATGTAATGTCAATGTACGCTCTAAGGTGTTCACCTTTCCCCAGAAGGTGTTTGAGTCAACAAGTCTTTTGTTCATGCGCTCCTGAGCGTCTATTGTCCTTAACCAAACTCCGTAAACGCCGCGTCGTTATGCCATGCCCGATACTAATGTATTGCCACATCTAATCGTCCCACTCCTCATCCAGGTTGTCTATTAACCTATCCTCATCTTCATTCCTTCGTCCCCTCCGTCCGCTATCCTGGCCGAGCGAGACGCGACTGTAGCCCCGGCGGGAAGGCATGAAGCGCGCACACGACGAAGTAAGAATGATGAACATGTCCTTCACGATGTCAGCAACACCAACAAGACATTCGAGCGTCTGTTATCACCACCGGGCGCTACTACTACTCCTTCTACGACAACAGCGGAGTAGACTTACAGAGAAGAAGCGCCAGATGCCTGCCCACATGGCGTAGTTGGGCAGCTGTCTCCATCCGCGCTGGTGCATGACGGTGCGTTGGTAGACGCAACCACCAGCAAAGTATACGGCTACGGCGATCATGACGATGACACCAAAGACGCCGCCGGGGCCTAGAGCTTGGGTATCCTGATGTACGCCTCCGCATGCGAAGGGCGAGCGGCCTTCGAAGAAGTACGAGCAGTCGTCTACCGCCGCGACGAAGGACACACTTGTTTTCGCGAGCGGGTCGTTGTCGCAAAGCAGAGAGATGATGGTAGTCTTGCGGCGCTCCGTCTTCTTTGAGCCTTTCTTTTTGTCTCCGTCATCCTTGTCATCGTCATCGTCGCCATCAATGATCTCGCGGGTGTCGAGAGAGGTGGGTTCAAGCGCGCGCTTTGATTTCGAGGACAGATCTGGGCAGAGCGAACCTCCGGTGTAGTTTAGAATGAGCTTGCGACCGCGGAAGATGGGCTCTGAGTTCTCGAGACTGGAAATCGCAAGGTGTCAGCATTGCGCCTCAATGGATTGTTCTGCCTGGTTGTGAACGAGCACCTTGAACCCCTCCATCTGTTCCCACTTTGTAGGATGCGAGACTCACCCAATAGCCCATTGCTTGTCTCCCCTCTCGTAGAATGCGCTGACGTTCTTCCAAAGGCCCTTGTCTAGATCTTGCACCTTGTCCAGCTCCTCCACTACAGGTCCACAGAAGTTGATTGTGAAGTTGGCATTGTAATCGTAGCCCTTGGCATGCCAGCTGCCTTCTTCGCCCTCCTTCTTGCTACTTTTCTTGCCATCCGACTCCGATGGTGGCTGGCGGCGCATAGGGTTCAGGTCGAAGAAGCGCTCGGACGTGGGTGAGATGACGGTACATGGCTTGAGCTGTTTGTCCGAAGCGGCCGCTGCGAATGGGCCCGACGCTGCCAGAAGCAGGAGCGAGTAGAGTAGGGATATCATCGCGTAGTTGATCGGCGCACTACGCACTATGAGGGTCGAGGCGTGGTGACGGTGAAGGTGGAGCTGATACGATTGTCCATCTTCGCAACACGTTGACTTCCGGCGCCGCGCCTTCCATGTCGAGTGCCTTGCAGCGGCAGTAACGACGGGCGGTAGCGCCCAAAGCAGTTAGCGCGGCCAAGATGGCGTGTGCGCGTCATTACGGCTGCAATGGAATCCGAGGTCCCTTTCATCGTCTGATGCGCCCAGCCTCATTCATTGCTATATAGGACACTGCACCCGTGGCTGTCTTTGGTTCAGGCGGCGCGACAATCACCCTCGGCGAAGACGACAACTGCGACAAGGACCTTTGTTGTGACGACGCGACCGGACCCCTATTCCTCGAGCTCCCTCATTCGGCGGATCTAGCCGGAACGGAAAGAGCTGGAGAACGCGACAATTCGACATTGAAAACATGTCGAAAGCGAAGACTGACAAGGCGACTAAGTCGCTGGCTGAAGAGCCTCATGGCTATGAGTTTCTAGGACCGTAAGTCCATCCACGACTTTTGCGCGCCCTGACGATCACAACGCTAACCTCGTTCCAGCCCCGGAGCTTTCATCATCTCTTTCGGTCTTCCAGTTTTGGTGTACGTCTTCACGTTTCTGTGCAATGACATCTCTGGATGTCCGGCGCCTGTCCTTCTCCACCCCTACAGCTTCACTCTCGAGCAGCTGAAGAAGGAGGTAGGATGGACTGGCTTCTCGGGTCTACTCAACACCCAGGCTTTCCTTGGTACCCTGGCCTACTATTTCCTGAGTCTGTTCCTCTACCGATTCCTTCCTGGCCAGGAAGTTGAGGGTACCGAGCTCAGGAGCGGCGGAAGGCTCAAGTACAGGTTCAATGCCTGGAACTCAGCCCTCTTCATCATGACTCTTCTCGCTTCCGGTACCATCTCCCAGGGTGCCGAGTTCCCCGTCTGGACCTTTATCACCGACAACTACGTTGGGATCCTGACGAGCAACATTCTCATCTCCTACTTCTTGGCCACTTACTGCTACGTCGCTTCTTTCAGTGTCAAGCACCCCAAGGATCCATCTATGCGCGAGCTTGCTGCTGGTGGCCGTACCGGCAACATGCTCTACGACTGGTTCATCGGACGTGAGCTGAACCCTCGTGTCAACATGCCCATCTTCGGAGAGGTTGATATCAAGGCATGGTGTGAGCTTCGCCCCGGAATGCTAGGATGGATCATCCTCGACTTGGCCTTCATCATGCAGCAATACCGCAACTTCGGCCGCGTCACTGACAGCATCCTCCTCGTCACCATCGCCCACACCGTGTACACATTCGACGCGCTGTTCATGGAGCCTGCTATTTTGACCACCATCGACATCATCGCCGACGGCTTTGGTATGATGCTTTCCTTCGGTGACCTCGTCTGGGTACCCTTCACCTACTCCATCCAAACCCGCTATCTGTCTAACTACCCCGTTGATCTCGGTCCTGTTGGCATTGCTGCTGTGTTGGCCGTCCAGGGTATCGGATACTACATCTTCCGCTCTGTAAACAACGAGAAGAACCGTTTCAGGACCGACCCCAACGACCCGCGAGTCAAGCACCTCAAGTGCATCGAGACAGCCGCAGGTTCCAAGCTTCTGATCAGTGGCTGGTGGGGTATGGCGCGTCACATCAACTACCTTGGCGACTGGTTCATGAGCTGGAGCTACGTTCTACCTACTGCCATGTCTGGTTACCTCATCAAGAACGCGGCTCAGTCTCCTATCACAGCAGCTCAAACCGATGCCTACTTCTACCAGAACAGCTACGGAAAGTACGCTGTCCCTGGTGAGGCCAAGGGCTGGGGTATGATCTTCACCTACTTCTTCATGGTCTACTTTGCCATCCTGCTTATCCACCGTGAGCGTCGTGATGAAGAGAAGTGCCGCAGGAAGTACGGCAAGGATTGGGACCGCTACGTCGAGCTTGTCCCTTACAGGATCGTACCTGGCATCTACTAGAAGGTCTCTTCCAAGACTTCTGATTGGATGTCAGAATCAGGGTGTGACGCTACCGCTTCGTGCGGTTGAAGACGTGCACTGTTTATGTTATTATTTGTATTTATATCTGGAGGCTTAGGGTGGAATGCTACCGCAAGTTCGGTTGAAGACATACATCCATGTATCATTATTGGGGAGGAAGATGGAATGCTACCGCACGGCCGGTCAAAGACATACATCATGGAGAGCGCGACGGAAGTAGGAAAACGGCTGCAACGCTATCGTGAAGACGATTGAAGACGTGCGCCGAAAATGTAGGGACAGGTAGATGGACATGTAGCGCTATCGCTCTCGAGCGATCGAAGACGAACATGCCAAATTACAATAATGTTTATTCACATGACATGAGCCGACCATGCACTGGAAGGTGTGTTGTAAGAAGTTGAGAATACATTGATACTAACAACTAAAGTCGTGCTGTCCAGCAGCGTATAAAGCAGGTCATTCCTTCATCATCCCACGTCATTCCCGTCATAAACCGTAGTTAGAAAGGACAGAAATCGTAACATCATCGAGAGCATGAGCAAACCATAATCATGATCGTAAATGTGATCACCTCACAGCCGCACCCTTCCGATACGTCTTCGTCTTCTCATCCCATCCATCATCCCCCGCCCTCCGGCTCCCCCTATGGCTCCTCCTCTCGCTCCCCGCATAATCGCTCTTACTCCTCTGATCAGCATACTTCCTGCCCCCGTAGCCACCCAGCACTAAGCCAGCTGCTGTGCCCAAACCAGGGAAGATCACATCCCCGATGATCGTGCCTGCGCCTGCGCCGAGGAACGTATCTCTGTTCTTGTGCTTGTCCTCGTGTGCCTTGTCAAACGAGTGTGACTTGCGCGGTTTGTGTCTGCGTTCGTTGCGCGAGCGGTCGCGATCGCGAGAGGTGGAACGGTCGCGGGTGGAGTGGCTATGATGGCGGTGGTGTCTGTTGCTGTTGCTGTGCCGGGGTGGAGAGTAGTCGTCCGAGTCGGACACGGAGCCTAGACTTGTGCTGCGGTCGGAGTCTTGGTCTGCGAAACGGACGCGCGCGGGCTGCGAGTGGCTTCTGTAGGGTTGTAGAGGGGCACCGAAGTAGCCGTTGTTTCGGGGCATCGGCTGTTGGGGTGGGTAGTAGCCGCCTGCTGGTGGTGTTTGTGGGTATGGCGCTGTCATGGCGTGGGCGTTCTTCTTCTCTGGGTAGTACTGGCGTTGCTGTTGTTGAGGAGGATAGCCATGAGGTTGTTGCGGAGGCGGCTGAGGATATGCTGAGTATGATGGAGGTGGCGTGTTCGCATATGGAGGATTGCTAACGTGTGGCCGTGGAGGTTGCGCAGGTGGTTGTTGGTATTGTGGCGGCTTTGGTGGCTGCGGTGGATATGGGTTTGGCGGGTGGCTACCTGGCAGTTCATGCGCAGCCGCTGTACCTAGATAATACTCTTGCGCTGCCATGTCTTTTAATCTCTCGGAGTATTTGCTGATGATGTTATTGGTTTGGAGGAAGAAGGTATGACTGGAGATAAATGTAGGTACGATGTAGATGAAGATGCAAAATACGAAAGACAACACGATCACAAGGCCTTGGCTAAATAAATACCAAGAGCGCGTGCAACTGTCACCAGTCCGTAGAAAGTACGACGTTGATACGTCATTCGATCAACGGATCTGCTTCGGGAACGCTTAGCATGCAGCTCGGCCTATCCGGGGAGCTCGGCAAGCTTGTCAGCACGAGGCTCACATAAGGTTGATCTATGGCGAAGTCCGGAGGGAACTTCCGGCACTTTCTTTGCGCGACGGAAAGCTGACGTGATGAAAGAAGAACAAAGAACCGTTGACTCAGAAAAGGTCATGCGTACGTTATTAAAAAGTGGTACTTGCCCGCGGGCTGTTGGGGTATCGATCATAAAAATGTGTCTATGTTGTGTTCAATGCAACGCCACAACTAGACCAAACGCCAAGAAGGAAAGGGAGGGTCCCGCTCCAATGAGCGTTCTCATTATCCCTGGCTGCGCAACACAAGGCGCTGGGCAGATTCCTTAGGATTTCGTCGCCACTCCTGTGGTCACGAGTGGAATGTTCTGCGCTTCTTCGTCGTCTCGCTGGTCTCCATAATCCCTACGCATGGGCACACCTTCGACTTTCTTGACGTTTTTGCCCTCGTGCCACATCATGATGCCTGCAGCACCCGCCACTCCGCATCCCAGAGCCACGAACAGACCAGTAGCCCAGGAAGGCCGGTCGATGCGATTATAGTGCCACATGTAGAAGCATAGAACCACCTGGAAGAAAGTATTCCATACATTCATCCATATGACGAAATCCATCTTCCAGCTCTTAGTGGGTGGGGCGCGAATCGCCGTGGGCGGTGGGTCGGGGATCATCTGGACGGGAATTGGTACAGCTGGATCTTCGGGATCGACGACGGTTGCGCCTGCTTTGTCAGGCAGCCGATCTGAACCTGGAAGCCGAAACCATCCCCGATGTATGCCAGCAAGACGTCTGATGCCCGTCTCCGTGCGGGCTGATCCTCCGATTCTCCAACAAGCCCAGTAGTATAGATCGCGGAACCTCCAAGGCGCGAGACCAAACCCTGTGACGCAGAAAAGTGCGTTGAGGATTTGCGAATCGTACTCGACCCACTTCCGGCGCGGGGAATTGATGTCGTCACAGGTAGGTGTACACATGGCGGGTGCGGCGTTACAGAGTAGGAGGAAGAGCATACCGCCCCAGGCGACGACGTTCAGGCCGTAAAGCGTGATGAGAAAGCCGGCGGGTGTGAGGAACCACTTCCAAAAGCCTTTAAGCCCGATCATGAACGATTTCTTCCACGGCAACTTGGGAGGTGGTACGTAGCCGTTGACATACTGCGCCATGATTAGCATGTTTGTCTGGATGGTGGAGGAGAAGACGTACCCGTCCTGATGATGTCCGTTTTGGCTGCTGCGGCCTATCGTCGTCAAAGTGCTCTGTCGCGGATCCGGAGCCGTGCTTTGATTGTCTGCCGGTATTGGGCCGCTCGTCGTAGCCATCGTATCCCGCAACTTGTCTTGTATCCTCTTCAGCTAGAGCAGGAAAGGCTTCGGTGTTCAATGCATTGCTCGACGAGACCTTGCGTTGACCACCGAAAGACGGACGCTCAGATTGATCTATCGGTGATGCTGCGTTGGTGGAAGCTCGCGACCGCTGCTCGCCCTGGCTTGTTCGTGAACCTGCTCTCTTCCGTTGCGAGTCTTCGTTCCATCCGTCAGAACCAAATGAGCCCTTTCTGATGTCCGTTATCGAAGGTGCTTTGGCGGCAGTCGTCCCTGCGGCAGCCCACATGCCGGGCGGCGGGTTCACGTCCATCAATTTACCAGTCGCGGTACGGATCTTGTTGGAGACGATGGAGGCATTGGTGGAGGTTCGTTCGCGCGTCTTGGTAGAGGGCGACTCTGCGGTAGGGTTGCGAATACCCTCGGGCTGAGGAAACGGCACTGGCGTTGGTACGTTGCTATTCGGGGAAGCCATGGCTGGCGAGAGTGAAGTGCACGCTCGCGCTTGTTTTGTAGGAGATTCGCCCCGTTGAAGCGCGTGTGCGGTTCGACGTGTCAGCCAAGTTGTTGATCGCTGGTACGATTGGCAATGTCACAGTGCCTTGGCGAGATCCCTGCTTTCCGGTTGCTATCACTTGGGCCGGTATAGGGGTGCTTGTATGAAACCGGCTTCGAAGAATAGCAGGAGCCGTCTGAAAATCGACATGGTTGCGAGTGCTGGGCACCCAAGGTTATATGGTGTTGGCGCTGGCGTGGAGGGAAGGAGACGGCCTAGATTGTTGTAGACGCGGCTCCTGCCAACCCCAGACCCACTGACGTGCAGCGCGTATAAGCCACCGTTAGATGCCCGGGTGGCTATACGAATACGCGAGAGGTACTTCGCCACACGTAATGGCGTCGCAGTCCGCGCGTCACGGTTAGACTTGCGAGATACATTAGAGTCTTGGATGATTATTGTTCTTTGTTTATGTATCGTATTCAGCAGAGTTTTACTGCGAATGCACCTTTCTACAATGGTCCTATCGTTCGAGTGCATGCAGTATTGGCAACCGGAGTCGCTCCGACGCGCACCAACGCAGCCGTCGCATTGACAACACAAAACAAACAACTGATTTGAACAGTCTGACACCCTCGCTCTCAACCCAATACTCACAAGAAAGCCAGAGCGCCGGCAATAGCGACAACGACGGGCATGTCGCGACCCCTGGCTGCGGCAGCGTTTTCTGTCTGCTCTGGTAGACCAGAGCTAGTCGCACTCGCGGCTGAGCCAAGGCTCGAAGAAGGCGTGTCAACAGCGCCGCTAGAGATGGGAGTCTCGCCCTCAGGAATTGACATGGCACCAGTGGAGTCTTGAGGGGGGATTGATACGTCCGTTACAGTGGGCATAGGAACAGGCGTTGTGACGACGGAGATGCCAGACTGTGGTGGAATTGACACGTCCGTCACGGTGGGCATGGAAACCGGAGGGATGACGGACACGTCCGTTACACTGGGCATAGAAACCGGGGGAACGCTCATCATGCTGCCGGTGCCTACTATTGTTAAACACATTGCGCGACAGGCCGAAGAGGGTGTACTTACATGCCGGGCATGGAGGCTGAACGCACTCCATGTAGCACGACCATGGGTCGACATCATCAGTAGCGGTCTGAGTCTGAATAGTATACAGTGCTTCAGACTCCGGCGTAGGACTGACGAATGGCGAGGTCGCGACTGAGGGTGTATCGTCTTGGGCAACGGCAACGCTAGCCAGAAGCAGAAGTGTGGGGATGGAGATTGCTGCGAGCATGACGACGGCCTTGGAAAGATGATTGAATGTTTCTTGGAAGTTTCGAAGGAGTCTTGAACTGCGAAAATAACCCAACTGGACAAGCTATAAGAATGGACGCTGTCTGCTGCCTAGGCCGCGTCGCCCCTTCCCATAGTCGCTCGGCAGCCTTCGCGTGACTGGCGGGGTGTTTTTTGAGATCTTCGCTCCTTCCACAACCGAGTAGCTTCGTCGACGTGCGAAACCTTGCACCACCAATAGTCCCCCAGCACTTCTCCGCGCCCAGCCTCCAGTATGACGACAGTCGCCGTAACGACAGAGATGAAACGTGCCGTTGCGCCCGCCGCGCTGCAGACGTTCGTATCAATCGCTCCCGAGGCAGCCGCAGCATCAAGCCACCTTCCGAATGAGTTATCGCTCGCCCGCCAGATACTGCACAACCTCCAGTACCAGCACTATTGGTCCGACCTCCACGTACACACGCACTCACCGACTACTCACGAGCCCCTTCCCCGCCCGCTGGTCTCTGGGCTGCCCCCGCGCCGTCTCTACGTACACCCCGACGAGCAGGTGGAGCTGCTGAAGAAAGCCGACCGCGAACGGAAGGCGCGCGCCGATGGCGAGGCAGGTGGCTTGGAGGTCAAGGCAGAGCCGGAGCGTGAATGGATACTGCCCACCAGGCTGAACGAGAAGTGGACGCTGCGTCGGCTGGCCCACGTCTTCGATGCCATCACCATGGTCCCGCCGGCAGCAGACGCGTCGACAATAGAGGGGGACCGCCCTACCAACCCTTGGAGAACAACGAAGCGCGTACTATTAGCGTCGGTAGACACGGACAGCACAGTCGTCTACTACATTGTGCACGATGGCGTCGTGAAGCCCCGCCAGAACTGAACAAGGCCTTGCGCCAGTTGTCGCACACATCTACTATCGCAGCGCATATTGCACAGGCTGTCACGGAAAGGACACGTGCGAGATATTTCATACTGCTACGAAGGACCGAACAGTTCTCAGCTACGTCCACTGACATACTCAGCGTCCACGACCCTCATGGGATCTCAGGGAAGATGAAATCTCCCGGCTTCGGCATCTCGTAGAAACGGCTCATGTTCACCTCCGTCTCTGGTGGGAGCTGGTGCGCCTCCGCCCACTCTCGAACCTGCTCATAGTCCCGGCATCGGTGCCTTGTGTTGAAGTCCACGAATGGCGTCGGGTCTGGCATAGTGTCGGCCTGCCACCACACTTGACCAAGTACACCTACGTCTGGATTACACATGAGCACCTGCCTTATTATATCCAAGCAGTGCGTCGTGTGTACTCGCACGATGTACTCGCTATTGACGAAGGGTCCTTCCTTCTTTGCCGAATAATAGGAATAGTTCCAATATAGGGTTTTACGGAGAAGGTCCTTCGAAACGTTAGTGATGTATTGTCTGCT